GACGGGGTTTCACCCTGTTGACTAGGCTGGTCTTGAACTCCTGACCTCAAGTGATCCGCCTGCCTCGGCCTCCCAAAGTGCTGGGATTACAGGCGTGAGCCACCACTCCCGGACTCGGGCCGAGTCTTGGGAGATGTGGGGAGTCACGGGAGGGCAGGGACATGTTCATTGTACCCCTTTCCTAATGTCGCTGCAATTGTGGTGCATGCACAAGAAAATAAGGAAGATTCGCGCCGCGAATACCGTCCTGCAAAGTGCTTTGTTTTGCTTTGAGATGGCATCTTGCTCTCTTGTCCAGGCTGAATGCAGTGGTGCAATCACAGCTCACTGCATCCTTGACCTCCTGGGCTCAAGTTATACTCCTGCCTCAACCTCCCGAGTAGCTGGGACTACAGGAGCGTGCCAAGATGCCAGGCTGATTTTTTATTTTTTGTAGAGATGGGGGTCTTGCTATGTTGCCCAGGCGGGTGTCAAACTCCTGGGCTCAAGCGATCCTTCTGCCCAGCCTCCCAAAGTGCTGGGATTGCAGATGTGAGCCACTACGCCCAGGACAGTTTTTTGGTTCGTGTGTTTGTTTTTGCTTTTAATGTAATATCACAGGCATACCGAGAGCCAGCTCTGGGCCATGTCCCACATTAGGCACCGCGGATACAGCAGGGAACTGGAAGGATGCAGGCACTGTCTCCAGAGAACTCACAGCACAGTGGGAAAGATGGTGGAATCAGGCAGAGCTGGGTGGTGTCAAGGCAGGCTTCCAGTAGGCAGCCGCTGGAAACAAAGACGTGAAGGGTGGCCGGGCGCGGTGACTCATGCCTGTAATCCCAGCACTTTGGGAGGCTGAGGCGGGCAGATCACCTAAGGTCAGGAGTTCGAGACCAGCCTGGCCAACATGGTGAAACACCGTCTCTACTAAAAATACAAAAATTAAGGCCAGGCACGGTGGCTCATGCCTATAATCCCAGCACTTTGGGAGGCCAAGGTGGGCAGATCATGAGGTCAGAGGTTCAAGACCATCCTAGCCAATATGGTGAAACCCTGTCTCTACTAAAAATACAAAAATTAGCCGGGTGTGGTGGTGCGTGCCTGTAATCCCAGCTGTCTGGAAGGCTGAGGCAGGAGAATTGGCTGGAACCCGGGAGGCAGAGGTTGCAGTGAGCTGAGATTGGGCCACCACACTCCAGCCTGGGCGACAGAACAAGACTCTGTCTGGAAAAGAAAAAAAAAGATGTGAAGGGGCATGAGTAGGGGTTGACCAAAGAGAGGTGGCAGAGCCAAAACTTCTAGGCCGAGGAGGGACACAGTCAGGTTTGGTCAGTCAAAAGATCCCGCTGTCTGCTGAGCGGGCGACAAGCTTGAGACAGAGACCTCTAAGCAGCCTGGATTTGAGAGAAAGTTGGGAAATGGTATAATCGCTCCAGTGTCCTCACTCCAGGCAGTCCTTCCGCCCCAGCTGAACCTGCAGTCCATTGGTCCGTCCACCTCCCTCCCATTGCCTCACATACCTTGCTTTGCCCAAGATCAGCTTTGCAAATGTTAGCGACCCGCTGCCCTCCTCTCGCTTGCTGTGGATAAACTCACCTCTTTCCCTTCCTTGGTGCCTATCCCCATGCAACTGAACATGATGCGGGGGAGATAAGAAAAAAACAGCTCTAAGCTAGGCAAAATGGCTCATGCCCAACGCTTTGGGAGGCCAAGGCAGGAGGAGTGCTGGAGGCCAGAAGTTCAAGAATAGCCTGGACAACATAGCAAGACACTGTATCTACAATTTTTTTTTTTAATTAGCTGGGTGTGGTGGCACATTCCTGCAGTCCCTGCTGACTGGTCTCCCGATTGGTTCTCCAGTGGATTCTTCATGCTGCCTGGCCTTTCTGTTACCTCCTGGATCCTTCACTCTCTCCCTCCCTCGTAGACCACTGTTCCCTGCCCTCTCTTTCCTCCTTCCCACCCCCTTTCAGCCAGTCACTTTGCTAACTGCAACATCCGCCTTCCTGGTTCAAGCAGTTCTCCCACGTCAGCCTCCCGAGTAGCTGGGATTACAGGTGCGCACCACCACACCTGGCTCATTTTTGTATTTTTAGTAGAGACAGGGTTTTACCGTGTTGGCCAGGCTGATCTCGAACTCCTAACCTCAAGTGATCCACCCGCCTCAGCCTCCCAAAGTGCTGGGATTACAAGCATGAGCCACCGCGCCCAGCCCATATTTATTTATTTGTTTATAGAGATGGGCTCTCACTCTGTTGCTTAGGCTGGAGTGCAATGGTGCAGTTACCACCCACTGCAGCCTCAAACTCCTGGGTTCAAGCGATCCTCCCAAGTAGCTCTGCCTTCTCTGTGTGCACCACCGTGCCCAGATAATTTTATTATTTTTTCTAGACATGGGATCTTTCTGTGCTCCCCAGGCTGGTCTCCCTAATACTTAAGCACTGCCAGACACGCTGTGGTGCTCTGTCTTCTGTCTGTTCTGTGTCTCCCTCCGAGGGCAGGGACACTTGTGTGTTGTGTTCCGTGCTGTATCCCCACCACTAAGCACACAGTAGGCGGTCTAAAGTCCTTGCTGCTAGCTGATTATAAGTTTGAGACAAAAGAGGGAGGAGTCTAGGATTGCCACCTGGAGCTCCAAGTGCAGATAGGGAACAGCCAGGGGCTGCAGGTGATACCCAGGCCTGGGGCTCAAGCGAGGTGTGGGGTGGAGGGACCACATCGGGTTCATCTACCTAAGGGGTGGCAGCAGAGAAAAAGGATCTCAGACTGGGCGTGGTGGCTAGCACCTGTAATCCCAGCACTTTGGGAGGCCAAAGTGGGTGGATCACCTGAGGTCACGAGTTCGAGACTAGCCTGACTACCATGGCGAAACCCTATCTCTACTAAAAATACAAAAATTAGCCAGGCATGGTGGTGGACGCCTGTGGTTCCAGCTACTCGGGGAGCTGAGGCAGGAGAATCGCTTGAACCTGGGAGACAGAGGTTGCAGTGAGCTGAGATCTTGCTACTGCCCTCCAGCCTGGGTGACAGAGTGTGAGACTCCATCTCAAAAGAAAAGAAAAGAAGAAGGCTCTCAGAACAAAGCTTAACGCAAGGCAGCCATAGAGATGGGAGGAAACCTGAGAAGGCGGGATGTGGGAGGCGGCACAGGAAAGAAGGAAGTGGGAGGCTGGGGTCCTGGGCTGTTGGGTGGCCCTGTGAGAGCCCCTGTCTGGGCAGCGAGAGGGTGGGGCAGAAGCCAGAGAATGGAACAAGGGGCAGGAGAGGAGGACCTGGGCCTGAGTGGGATGAGAGAATCACGGCTGGGAAGCAGAGGGGAGAGAAGCCAGCCTGGGATGACTTGCCATTGAGATGTGAGTATGTCTCCTCTCACTTGCGCAAATGGGAAGGAGCTGGGACTAAGAAAGATGTGGACGTCAGGAGGGCTAGGGAGGCTGGGTCTGAGGGAGGCAGCGGGGAACAAGTGCAGGATTGCCAGGCACAGGCTCCAGGGTGAATGTCCAAGGTTCCTCAGGCTCCCATCAGCCTCCTGAAGGTTGATTTGTCCGGAGTCGGGTTTGCTAGGTGAATGGGGCACCGGGACCCAGATACTAGTCCAGCTGTCTTCTGAGCCCACGCCTAAGTATCTTACAGGTACTGTTAGCTCAGTGGATGCTCAGGTAACTTCCATGAGCTGATGGTCAGTTCTGAGGCTCAGAGAGAGGCCACGCTGCCGGCCAGTGCAGAGCCGGGACTCGGGTGGGTTGCAGACAAGCAAGGCTAGGAGTCTGAATGGAGCTGCAGGTGCAGGTGGAGAGTCTGAGGGGGTACTCTGGGAGAAGGTGGATTCTGAGAGCGGGGCTGTAGAGAGTTGGGGACGGGCATCCCTGCGGGAGGGGAGGCAAGGATCCAGCGCAGGATGTTGAGGTGCCTCAGGGTGATGGGGAGCCACCTTCTCCTATCTGGGCTTTGGTGTCTGGAGTTGCCTTTGTGCAAATTAGAAAAGGAGGCCCCTTCAGGACAGTGCGTCCGTCAAAGGCATCTGCCATCCACTACCATCTGCCACCTGGATGTTAATGGGGGACACCCCGAGCCGTGGCTTCCTGATGCCGTGTGCCTGGGTCCCCTGGGGATCCCTGGAATTGGGGTGGTAGGCCTTCAGCCTGGTTGAGCCGCGCCCACTCCCTGCAGAGATGGTGGCCACACAGCAGGAGATGATGGACGCGCAGCTGAGTCTCCAGCTGCGGGACTACTGTGCCCACTACCTCATCCAGCTGCTCAAGTGCAAGCGCGACAAGTTCCCCAACTTCCTGGCCTGCAAGCAGGAGCAGCACGACTGGCACTACTGCGAGCACCGCGAGTGAGAACCCCCACACCAGCCCCCCAAGACCCTCGGCCCGCAGCACCCCACACCCCCAGCCTTCCACAACCCCGGCCCACCCAAGCACCCCACACCCCCGGCTCGCCCAAGCCCCCTGCCAACACCCACAGCCTGCACCCCACCCAGGCCCTGGCCCCTGGCAGGATGTGGCTCCAGAGGCCAGGGACCTGAACTGCCACTGAGGTTTCTAGCCGGGCCCCACCTTAGTCCCAGAGAGGGCTTTCTAGGGGCCTGTTGGATGGCGACAGGGCAGGTGGCTGAAGCCACCTAGGGGAGTGGCCAAGCCCAGGTTCCAGCGGGAAGCCCTGTCCTCTGTGTGGACAGACCCCAGACCTAAACCACAGGCACTCGGGTCTGTCTTCTTCAGAGGCCTCCCCCACAGTGCTGTGGGACAGCCCCACTACTTCCCAGGGCTTGGAGGGCGTGTCCTGGCCAGCGGCCCTGACAGCCCCTCTTGTGCTTTTCCCTCAGCTATGTGATGCGCATGAAGGAGTTTGAGCGGGAGCGGAGGCTGCTCCAGCGAAAGCAGCGGCGGGAGAAGAAGGCGGCAGAGTTGGCCAAAGGCCAGGGACCCGGGAAAGTGGACCCCCAGGTGGCCCTGTAGGGGGTGCACCCCCCACCCTATGGACCAGTCAAATAAAAACCTTCAGGCCCCTCACCAGAGTCCCCTCTTACGGCGCCAACGCGAGGGTGGGGAGAGAGCGAGGGGCATGTGGTGGTCCCCAACCTCGGACAGAAACACACGAAGCCCGAGTCCGACAGGGGCAGGCGGGGTTTATTCCGGGTGCTGGAGAGCTGTGGGCCCCACTCCTCCCCCAGAATGCCACCCGGTGAGGGGCTGAGCCCCAGCAGGGGCGAGCGCTCAGAGCAGGAAGGGGATGATGGGCATACGCAGGGGCGGGTAGTCCCGGAACTCCTTCAGGTAGCTGCGGTGCTTGCCCTTGGCCCAGATGGTCATCTGGGTGAAGCCCACCAGGGAGAACAGGGCCACTGCAGGAAAGAACGGGCGTCAAGGCGGGGCTGCAGGCCCGGAGGGGCAGGGCCCCGCCGAGGGAGGGCGGCAGGCTCACCTGGGAGACACTGCGTCATGATGGCGAAACCGATCCAGGACCCCACCTGTGGGCAGGGGCGGAGGGTGAGGGTGGCCAGGGCTGGACAAGGCCCGCTGTTCCGCCAGTCTCGCACCCTGTGGCTGTCCTGGACTCAGTCACCCACGTCCCCCTGCTTTCTGAGTCAGGGATGGGAACCCAATTCCAGTGGAGGCGGAGCTGTATACTGCGAAAGCCCAACGGCACATGCCTCCCGGCCCCCACAGCAGGGAGGCCGCGGTCTCTACCTCCCAATGCTCCCAGTGCAAAAGCAGCCGCCCAGTCAGGCGCCCCCTCCTAGGGGCTGGCCCCTCCATATGGGACCCCAAGTCCCAGGGCAGAGAGGGGTAGGGCAGCCCCTCACCTCGTAGGTGTAGTTGGGGCAGGACACCAGCAGGAAGAGCCACGTGAAGGGGTTCTTGGTGGGGTATGGGATCTTCCGGGTCTTGGACCCTGGCAGGCAAGACAGGAGAAAGTCAGACCCCCTCACCCAGCCCAGCTGTCCCCCTGCCCCAGCAGGCACTCACCAGCGGGCCGCAGGTCCCGCAGGGCCATGTGGATGGAGAAGTTGCCAAGCTGGCAGATCTGTCAGAGAAGCAGGATCAGCCTAGGGTCGCCCAGATTTCCCCCACCCCGTCCCCACACCCAGCCTCCTTACCACAAAGATGGCGAGCGCCAGTTTCACCTGCTGAGCTCCGTAGGCTGCAGAGGAAGCAGCGAGGGGAGGCCCATGAGGGGAGGACCCGGTGGGTGGGGGCCGTGGGGGAGGGAAGGACGGTCTGAGGCCACTTACTAGGCGGCGTGTAAAGAGGGTGGTTGATGTAATAGGCCATCCACGCGGCGAAGCCCCAGTAGTAGGTGCAGTTCTGAAAGGGAGCGGGGTAGGGATGGGACTTGGGCCAGCGCCGGGCAGGGCGGATTCTGTCTCATCCATAGGGGCCTAGGAGCATGGTGGGGAAGGGCAGGAGGGGCCTTGGGGCGGGGCTGGGGAGGATAGGTGGGGCCAAGGGGTGAGGCTAGGGCAGGGCTCTATGAGGGCGTGGTGGACAGGAGGGGCGTGGGGTGAAACTGGGGCAGGGCTCTGCAGGGGCGGGGCTGGGGAGGACGGGCAGGGCCTAGAGCCTCTGCGGGGGCGGCGCTGGGGAGGTTAGGTGGGGCCTAGGGGTAGGGCTCTGCGGGGGCGTAGTGGAAGATAGGAGGGGCTATGGGGTAAGGCTCGATGTGGGCGGGGTGAGGCGGAAAGGCGGGGCTCAGGGGTGAGGCGGGGGCGGGCTCTCACCTTGAAGATGTTGCGCAAAGGCATGGTGCCATGGGAGAAACGGTGCACGAAGAGCGTCTCCAGCAGGCGCTTGACGTAGTGGAATGAGTGGCAGATGCAGGCGAGGCTGGTAGGGGGGGAGCGGGCTCAGCTGGGGGCTGGTCCGGCAGGTCTTCTGCCTTCCCCTACCCTCCTCCCGCCTGCCCCACTTACTGCACCACCGTGTGCCGACTGGACGTGAAGTCATATTTGTGGCCATAGATGAAGGGCACTCGGAAGTAAAAGAGCAGGTAGATGAAAAGGGGCCCCGCGTACTCTGTTAGGAAGACCTGAGGGTAGAGGGAGGCAAGATGAGTCACCCAATGTGGCTGATGGGAAAGGAGGCCGTGGGTAGGGTCAGGACTCACCGTCACCCAGCTAATCTGGGCCCCCAGGTCCCGGAAGTAGAGCGTGGCCGTGGTGCCCACGGGCAGCTTCTGTAGAACATCCTCATCCTTCAGGGACTTGCCCTCTGCAGAGAGGCGGGCCAGGGCTCAGGGGCTGCCCGGGCCTTCTCCCACTGCCACCCAGGAGCCTAGGGGGCGGGCCGAGCAGACAGCTGTACTCACTGGGGTCCAGGCGGAGGGACTGGCGGGCGGGGTACCACTGCGGATCTGCGGGGAGAACAGGGCGGTCACAGCCCACAGACTGGCAGAGCTCAGCCGGTCCGCTGCCCCATCGCTGTGCCAACTTCTCAGGGTTCCCAGGGTGCAGGGACCCCAGGACTCCACAGCTCCTCCCACCCGGGGGCAAAGCCTCAGGCCTGTGCAGCTCCAGGACACAGGCTGGAAGAGCGCGGGCAGAAGCAGGATCTTGTCCTTCCCAGAGCCTAGCAAGGGCGTTCCTGCGGCGTGCCACGTGGGGGCGCCTGACCCAGTCACGCCCCAGAAGCCTAGGCCACGCTCGGGCATCTCTGCAGGCCCCTGGGAGAGGGGTGCAGGATGGGATCCCTCCCCCTCTAAGGTCCCTGGTCAGAGGGGCTGCAGGGGCAGTGTGGCCAGGCCTAGGACTCACGGGTCTTGGTGAAGAGGTTCTTGATCTCCGCAATGGTGGCGTGGGGCTCCACCTGGAGGAAGCACAGGCGCAGGGACGTCAGCTCTGCAGGGAGCCCAGACCCAGGATGGGGAGGTAATGAAGGGGATGGCAGGCTTGGGGTTGGGCTGCAGCTATGGGAAGGGGGAAGGGCTGGGGTCTGGAAGGCAGAGGCCTGGACAATCAGGGAAGAAGCAGGGAGGGCCCTGCCAGTGCAGTGACAGCAGGGGTCTGGGGCTCCAGTTTTACCCTCAGCCAGCAGGCCCCCAGCCCAGCTAGTGGCAGATTAAGCAAGGGAAGGCAAACGTGCTTCTCTGCCCCTCCTCGCTACTCCTCACCCATGACTTCCCTGGGTGCAAAGGCTCTCTTTCCTCCCCAGGGACAGCCCAAGCCCCTTCCCCCAGGGGCAAGGCTCAGCAGGGGCAAGGCTCACTCCTCCACCACCCTCCCAGGACCAAAATCCCCGCAGGGTCTACTGAGACTCCCATGCCTCCATTTCCCCACCACACCCAGGGGATGGGGCTATCTACCCTACCCCAAGTGAGGGCATACCCCTCCACAGGGCCCCACTGGACAGCTCCTGGGCTAGAAGGAGGGGGATCTCGGGCCCAGCGCCCTTGGCCCAGTGCAGCCCATGTTCCGGTCCTACCTTGTCCAGGAAACACAGCTTCTCCCTTGTCTTTGCATCCAGAATCTCCACCTCGAAGAAGAGAACAGCCTTTTTAGGTTTCTTGGCCACCTTTGGGGGTGTGGGCCTGGGGAGCCCATTGAGGCCAGGGAGGAGACCTGGGGTGGCCTCCCGGGCCACCAAGTTCAAGCTCATGTCCATGCCGCCTGCCACCAGCCCTGCCGCTCGGCTCTGCCCACAGTGGCCAGCAGCCCCAGCTGCCAGCCGTCAGCCCCCACCACCGACCTCCCCACGCGAAGCAGCCCTGGGCCGGGCAAGCGCGATCAAATTCTGCCGCGGTGCTGGAAACGAGCCCGTGCCGGCCCTGGCACTGCCGGCTTCTGTGCCAGATGTAACCCGAGTGGCAACCACAGCCACAGCCCAGCTAAATATAAAACCACCCCGGACTGCGCCCCCCTCCCAGGAGCCGTGCCACAGACCTTCTCTGAGGGGGGTTTAGGAGTTGACCCCCGGGAGCCAGGCTGCCCTGAAAGCAGTTTTTGAGGGGTCACAGTCCCTCAACAGCACCAGCACAGGGAAAGCCCCAGGGGCAGGCATGGGACACCTCCCAGCCCCCGCCCTGCACAGAGCCAGTGGCCTGAGGAGAGTGAGAGGTCAGCAGGCCGTGCAGGCCCCAGCTCACAGCTCAGGCCTAGGGAGTTCACTGGGCTTGGAGAAATCCCAGCTATTTTGAGAATCCGAGAGACAGATCATCCATTTCCCCTTCGGAGCTGTAAGAGACACTTTGGATTATTTTCCTTGTGCATTTGTGTTACCAGGGAGGTGACAGATTCCGGAGTTATGGGTGCAGAGAGCTTCTCTCAAAGTGTGGAAAGGATCGGGGTGCTTGGAAGTTTTAGGCAAGCGCCTCCAGTCTGGGCTGAGGAGGCCTCCCCGACCTTCCTCCCCACCCACTTCTCACCTTGTAGCCACCTGTGAGGCAGGCTTCCCACCGAGTCAGCCCAAACACTGCACCCCTACCCAGGACCTGCACCCCACTAAAGCCCGGTGCTTCCTGCGTCCAAGAGCCAGGCCTGTGCCAGCCTCTGAGGGAGGAGTTCGGCCCAGCCCTCCCTGAGCCCCCAGGCCAGTGATGAACGATGGGGGTGCAGAGGGGCAGGGCTAGAGGGAGGCAGCCCCCGCGGATCTGACCCACCCTATGCAGGGTTCAGTGCAATCCTATCACACAGGGGTCGTGGCAAGTAGGCAGGCCTGATACCAAGTCAGCCACCGGCCAGCAATTTTTGGGGGACCCTTCCTACCCACAGAACCCCCAGCGGGGGCCCCCAGAGGCTGCCTGAGGAAAAGGAGCAGGACATAACGCTCAGAAACAAACCTCTGGGCCAGGGCCATCCCAGGGCAGGTCCACCCACCCAGAGCCCAGGGAGACTGGGCCATGGCAGCTAGGGCCCACCCTGAGGGAGAGGGCACCACAGTCAAGCCAGAGAAGGTGGGCACCCCTCCTGCACACTCCCAACGACAGTGGGAGACAAGGGGGCTTGGTGGCCTGCACTTGGGAACCGTAACCAGCCCTGCCTTGTAGTCCCTGGGGGACCCCAGGAATGTCACGTCTCTCTAGGCCTCAGAAGGGGGCAGGCAGGAAGCGGACTACCTCCCAGGACTGTGAGGGTCTCCTGCGATGGTGCGTGGGGTGCACCAGGTGACCCCTGACAGATGGGCGCACCCCATGGGATGGGAGGCGTTGTTGCCTGGGGGTTTGGTTCAGATCTCCACTCCCCTGCTGGCCTGGCGGTCACCACACCATGGGGGCCTATTTCCCCAGCTATGACACGCTCGCCCCCACTTCCTGGACAGGAAGGTGGGAATGGGCCCAGCAGCCAGGAAATTCTGGCCCGTGGGGCCTCCTGAGTCCCTGCTGTCAACTCCAGGCACTGCCTGGCCATGTGGCCTCTAGGGGAAGGTTACTGAGCTCCTCCAAGCCACAGCGATAACAAGGCCAAAGAGCTGGCACATGGAGGGGCCAAAAAAAAGAGCTTGGTCACACCACGCGGGATGTCTGACCCCACCAAGGGGATTTGTGGGAGAGGGACAGAGGACAGGGGGCGGGATGCACGGGAAAGGGTTAGCACAGCAGGGCCCTGGGCGGGCACGGGGCCTGGCCTGTGGCTGCAGGTATATTAATAGTTCCCGGGCCCCAGGCAGGCAGTGCCCACATGCTTCTGAGCCCGTGTGGCCCGCAGGAAGGCAGCCTGGCGTCCACAGGGAGAGGAGGCCTCCGAGTTCCTGCTGAACCACTCAACAGCTTAAAATACAACCAGCCCCTCTCCCTGTCCAGCCAGCTGCTAGGGGGAGGGGTGAAATCCTACCCTGCTCCCCCCAACCTGGGCACTGAACCAGGGCCCAGGAGGGAGAGTACGGCCATCGGGGTCCCGGCTAGCTGCTGGGAGAGGACGCCAGGCTGCGGCAGGAGGGGGCGGCCGAGAGAGGGGCCACACGCACAGCTGCAGCAGCGGCGCCCAGGCCAGCCTGAGCCCAAGGAGAGGAGACGCCCGAGCCTGCAAGGAGGTAAGCCCGGGCTGCAGGGGACAGGAATGCCCAAGGCTAGGGCCACCTGGGCAGGATGAGTCCTCAGTGGGACGGCTGCCCTTCTCCCGTTTCCTGCCCCAAATCCCCAGCTCATCAGCCATCTCCTCCTAGAGAGAGGACAGAAAGGCTCTGGGGGGAGCATGGGACCTCTCCATACTATTTTTGCAATTCCCCGTGTCTTTTTTTTTTTTTTTTTTTTTTTGAGACGGAGTCTCACTCTGTCACCAGGATGACCAGGATGGAGTGCAGTGGTGCGATCTCGGCTCGCAGCAACCTCCACCTCTCAAGTTCAAACGATTCTCCTGACTCAGCCTCCCGAGTAGCTGGGATTACAGGCACACACCACCACATCCAGCTCATTTTTTGTGTTTTAGGAGAGATGGGGTTTCTCCATGTTGCCCAGGCTGGTCTCGAATTCCTGAGCTTAGGCAATCCGCCCACCTGGGCCTCCAAAAGTGCTAGGATTATAGGCGTGAGCCCAGCTGGCCCGGCCTGTAATTATTTCTAAGTAACAAAGTTAAATAAGATATTCCAGGTGGGGTAAAAGAAATGTTACGCTAAGTGAGACAAGCCAGACACAAAGGGTCCCATATCTATGTCAAATGCCCAGAGCAGACAACGGGCCAGGGGCTGGGCGGGGACGGGGGAATGGGGAGTGGCTGCTGCTGAGTCTTCTTTCGGAGTGAGGAAAATGTTCTGGAACGAGACAGAGGTGGAGGCTGCACGATGCTGCGTGTGCACTCAATGCCACTGTTCACTTTTAAATCGGTTAGTTTCATGTTACGTGAATTTCACCTCAATAAACTATTTTTCAACAGGGTGTGGGGTAACAAACAGGCCCCAAATACCCATCAAAATAAAAACAGTCGGGTGGGAGGAGCAGGAGAGGTTCCCCACCCCCGCAGAGGGAGGGCCGAATGTGAGACCTCGAGGCCTCCGCGCCCCATATCCCACTGCCACTGCAACCTCTGCTCTGTGCCTGCCACACATACACACACACACACACACACACATATACACACCTGCCCAGGCCTGAGGCCAGTAGGGGGCAGGGGCTCCCAGGGGAAGCCCAGGGCTGCAGAGGGCACAGGCAGCTGCTGAACAGAGCCCCAGGCAGGGGGTCCTGAGCACAGACAGGGAGGCGGCAGGCTCTGGCCCCATCTCCAGGAGAAGCGGTGAGTCAGGGAGGAGAGGCAGGCCCTCCTGAGGAAGCCCACAGAGCCACGGGGCTGGGAGGGGCTGAGATGCTCTGGGCGGATGAAGGGATACCTGTGGGAGGGGGCTACTGGTGTCAGCGAAGTCCCAGCACTGGCCATGGGCAAGGGCAAGGGGTGTGACCCCATAGCCTCAGGCACGATGGGCAGGGAGAGGGCAGGAACGGGCGGGCGGGCAGGCAGGCGCTCTGGCCTGGGGCACGGGCTGGTGGCTCTGCCGGCCTGTGGCTCTGTGATGACAGTTCCACTAGCCTGAGAGGAATTCTCACCAGGAGGCCCACGATTCCCGGGCCCAGCCAACAGCAACTCGTGGCAGCACGAGGTCAGGGCAGGGCCGAGCGCCAGGATGCAGGGTCGGGCGCGAAGCCCACGCTGCAGGAGGGGGGCAGGGCCGAGGTTTGTGCCTCCCAAGCCCGGAGGGGAGTGCCACAAGCAACAGGACCCCTGTCTTCACTGTCTTTGTGATCATGAAGATATTAATAATGGGGGCAGGAGGAGTGAAAAGGGGGACTCTCGTTTTCTAAGCACGTATCACAGCTCCTGGGATTGCGCCCGCCTGGTGGGTGAACAACCCAGAGAAGCAGACCTGCCCATTTACTAGCTGTGTGGCCCTGGGCGTCACCCAACCTCTCCGAACCTCCATATCCTCATGGCAAAGTGCGCTGTCCCCATCTGCCATCTGACAGGGTTACCGTAATCATCCCCAGTTTAGGATGAATCTTAAATAAGAATAAATATGATGACTGGGCACGGTGGCTCACGCCTGTAATCCCAGCACTTTCGGAGGCCGAGGCGGGTGGATCACGAGGTCAGGAGATCGAGACCATCCTGGCTAACACAGTGAAACCCCATCTCTACTAAAAATACAAAAAAATTAGCTGGGCGAGGTGGCGGGCGCCTGTAGTCCCAGCTACTTGGGAGGCTGAGGCAGGAGAATGGCGGGAACCCGGGAGGCAGAGCTTTCAGTGAGCCAAGATCGCGTCACTGCACTCCAGCCTGGGAGACACAGCAAGACTCCATCTCAAAAAAGAAAAAAATAAAGAAAGAATAAATATGATGACTGGGCACAGTGGCTCATGCCTGTAATCCTAGCACTTTAGGAGGCCAAGGCGGGTGGACTACCTGAGGTCAGGAGTTCAAGACAAGCCTGGACAACATGGTGCAACCCCGTCTCTACTAAAAATACAAAAATTAGCCGGGTGTGGTGGTGCGTGCCTGTAATTTCAGCTACTCAGGAGGCTGTGGCAGGAGCACTGTTTGAACCCAGGAGGC